GGGCCTGGCGACATGCTCTCCTCGCGATAGCATACGCCTCTAAAACTACCGCAAACAATTCTTACAAACGTAATTTTACGATTAGGTGCAGTGAAATCCATCCAAAAATTGATCCCCATCTAAGAAGCAGCAGAAAAACGCTATCGGAACTGTTAAAGTCTATCTTTCCAGAGCTCGACAAGTTTATCTGGGCGCCCTGATATAAACTGCCATTCTCGAGATTCCTTGGACCAGATCCGTCCAAGCCCGGGAATAAGTACTGCTCTTCCGCACCGAAATCCATCAGTAGAGTTGAAATGCTTTGTTCGCGCTGAGAAATCCGACAGTCAAAATTTACAACTGACCCTTCACACTTAGTGCTGATTACCGTAAAATTTATCAAATCAATTAACTGATCAAGCCCTGACCGGACAAAAAAACCACCCGCAGAAATGTCTCAACAGAAACCGCTCGAGCATACAGTCAAATCGTCACAAAACAGAAACTGTCAGTTTCTGCGACAAATGGATAAGAGTTGTATTTTGCTTCTATTCTGCTGAACGAAGAAACGTGACGACGTAGGACACTAACAAGTATCAGCAACGGATAGCAAAAACAACAACAAAAGAGGTGCTAAAGAGAGACCCCTCTTACAAAGAATGCTAGCACGCTCAAAAGAATGCACAGCAGTGCGGCATAGCCGACGCGGTCGCGAAAAAATGCAACAAAATTGGTCGAAAGAGAATACGACTGAAATAGTGGCCGGAGTGCAACAGTAAGAAACTTATGGATAACTCCTGCACCAATACGACAGGATTTTGCACTTCGCAGTAGGGTTGCTGTTTTGATGATCCAATTTTTCGCTTTTTATCTTTCAAAAATTCAAGTCTGATATCTCTCGTCCACGTCGCACAACAAAACGCAGCTATTCCCTTCTCGCCTTCACAAAAAACAGCTTCCTTCCTTCTCCCTCACAGCACTTCTGTGCCACCAATGCAACAGTATGTTTCTTAAAACATCCATTTTCTTTTTCCTAGAAAAAACTGATAACCTGTTTTGCCTATGAGGCGTCACGTCCGATGTAGTAGCTTCGGCGCCTAGCTGCTCCACGCGTGGCATCTTTTGCGTGCGCGAGTTTGTTGCAGTGCTCTCCGAGCCAAAAGAGGATGACCGAGCCAAATCCTGCTCACCGGCTCGTTTAAGTCGAATTGGCATGGGACGCATGTCTGGGGGTAGCACTGGGTGCAAAGGCGCCATCTGAAACAACGTGAAATCGCACAGCTGCAAACACCGGGGGACCACGCTTGCCAATAAAATAAAATAAAGGAGATCGTAAAGAGAAATAAATACTAACCGGTGCTGCTGTAACAGTACTTGACGGTGCCGCAATGCCATGGGAATGGTTTGGCTGCAATGCTCCTGAAATGTAAGATGATGCATAGAAAACATCGAAAGACGTGGCCAGGATTTTCAGACGCGTGCACAAAATACCTCCAGAGTAGCACAAAATACCTTAGAAATTCGCTTAGGCTAATACGACTAATTGCTTGCCTGATTTTTTATTTTACTGGCATTTGTTTTGTAACTTATATCCAAACTCTGAAATTCTTTTTTATCGGCCAGCAGGTATGCTGATGGCTCTCTCTTCTGAAGGTTGCTTACAAGCAAGCCGATGGATGATTTAACTTTCTTGTATTTGCCAGTACCAATTTACCATCGAAACGAATCACAGAGGGTTATTGTGCATTAGGTCAAGATTCAATCCTGCTGATGCGACAACCAATCCCCCTA